CCAACACTGCCCTCATAGATGGGCTTGGTATAGTTGTGGCAGTAAAACATGTGTTTAAAGTCACACTACATGCTTGACACTCCTATGAAGGTTGCCCGCAGTATGTTATGGTTCTGAAGTTTACACAACAGATTCTAAGCTCTTTATTTTATTTTTGTATCAAGCTTAAACGTTTCACTTTAGTGGTGATCATAAGCTGATATTGTTAACTTAGAGCAGGGGTGTCGACTCCAGGCCTCGAGGGCCGGTGTCATGCAGCTTTTAGATAACATCCTGGGTCAACACACCTGAATTAAATGATTAGTTCATTACCAGGCCTCTGGAGAACTGCAAGACACGTTGAGTTAGCCATTTAAATCAGCTGTGTTGGATCAAGGATACATCTAAAACCTGCAGGACACCGGCCCTCGAGGCCTAGAGTTCGACACCTGTGACTTAGAGAATAGTTTCTTGTTATTATGCTAAAGAGAGCTAACCGCTGGGTCAAGTAATATATTTACTTTTTACAGTCAGGTCCATAAGTATTTGGACAATAAAGAGGAAATGATGGAGGAAGTCCTGGTCTGTTTTTGCAGTATGCTTTCAGTTATTATCCATTTGCACTGTGAAGTGCTATCCAGCCAGCTTCCATCATTTAGCTGAATCTGAGCAGTGTGCAATTCTCTGTATTTTTTATTATCTGTACAATTCACAATTCATCCTGCTACTTACAACAAGAGTCACATGATCAGTAAATATTAATGACTCAGTTCACTTTGGAGCCATGCCACAACATTACCTCAACCATGTTTGACAGATGATGTGGTATACTTCAGATCACAAGCTATTCCCTTCCTTCTCCATACTTTTCTCTACCCAATTTTCTGGAGCAGGTTAATTGTCAGCCCCCAAATTATATTGTTATCATTATCTTCAGAAGTGTTCAGGCTCTTAACTTTTCTGACAAAACCTAATCAGGTCTTCTGGTTTTTTAGTGTAACATCATGATTTGTACCTTATAAACCTTGGCGGCGATTGCCTTTCTCCTTGTCATCCACTGTTGTTATCTTCAGCGGACTTTCAGGCCTTTTGATATTGCTGAACTGGCCAGTGCGTTTATTCTTTTTAAGAATTTAAAATGTATTGCATTGTTGATTTGGTCACTCCTAAAGCTGATAGCTGATAGCTTTATTTTGGTTTTTCAGCCTAATGACTTCATCACATCAGCATCTCTACTTTCCAGTTGAACAGTGTTTCCGTGAACAGCTAGCAAATACGACTGGAACACCTGGAATGAACTGCAGATATTTTACCCGCTAAATTTGTCATGGAATAATGAGGGAATAGGGAATACGCGCCTGTACACAAACTGCCTGTCAGTTAATTGTCCAATTATTTTTGAGCCTCAGAAAATGGGTGAATATGTACAAAATGGCTGTAATTCCTAAACAATGAATACAATACTTTTGTTAAACCTCTTGAAGTAAAGCTTAAAGTCTGCTCTTCAGTCACACATTATTATTATTTGCTATATTTGTTCAGTTTAAAATCAAATGTGGTGATGTACAGAGGTAAAATTGTGTCATTGTGCAAATACTAATGGGGACTAACTGTATGACACTGAGAAAGAAATCAACTAAGGTTGTTCTCCGGTCACAATACTGATTTATTTAAATGACAATGTTTAAATTTAATACTGACATATTATTTATGGTGTTAGAAGAAGATCCAATCTTCTGTGGGGCTTAGCTGCAGTATGTGTGTAGTTGATGTTTATGTGGTTACAGATTTAAAGACAACATACATTATGAAAATCACAAAGATATTTTTGTTTGCAAACATTTACCTTGGTTTATTACATTTCTGAGGTCACGTGACAGATATCACACAAAATGTTAGATCAATCACGCTATACGAAAGAAGAGCATACATTACAAAAGTGGAGTTATTCGGGAGCTCCACGTTTACTTTGTCATCCCATTTCACTTAATTTGTCTAGTCTATTTTATTGTCTGCATTCCCAATTATCCTCAGGTGACTTTGTTCATCCCTTGCTTCTCACCCCCCACTGGAGACTTGTTAAATCTAAACTGCTCCAAAGGGACTTTCTCCTGAAAGGCTGATCACAACATCAATGAATATTCCACATGCTTGCACACGCGTACTTCTGAACAGACTTTGTGGTGACAGAAATGTAGCTGAGACATGTTTGTTCTTGAAGTGAAAATGAAGCACCTCACCCAGTTTCTGTCATATTCATATATAAGGAATGGAAAGGAGCCTCCGTTTTAGGCTGATCAAAGGACACAGGATCACCACGGGGAGTTGAGGAGAAAGGGAGAGTTTTATTTATTCTAAGTGTCTACTGTAATTCAGAAGAAATCTGGTAAGCAGGGATTCTGCAGGAAATGAATATTGCTTCATGTCCCGTCATCAAAACAACTCCATAGGTTGTTTTTTCAAGCTTGATGGGGAGCAAGTGAGGTGACATAGTTACAGAGTCACAAAGTCTTCGTAGAATAATAATAATAATATGATAATAATACCTATATTTTTCTGTGCCTTAAACCAAACTATATTGTCGCCCAGGTTGAAAGGTTGCTGTAAATCTGAGGTAGTTCTAAGCAGGGGGTGGATGAGGCTTCCTGTTTTCAGTTAATAATGTCAAAATATGACTAAATCACTGCTCAGCTAAACAAATGAATGAAACAAAATAAGTGAAACACAGCTAGCCTTGAACTTGCAAACTTTTGATTTATCTTTAGACGCACGAGGAATATAGTTCTGGGAATGGCAATGTGGGTCAGATGGTGGTAAATCCACCAGTGTGGTCCAGAGTGAAATATTGCAACAGCTATTTAATAGATTGCAATAAGATGCTATAGAAGATGAAGCTTTTAAACTGCGGAGATCTGCTTTTGTCCTTTCTAGCAGCAGAAATTGGATGGCTTTGATATTTATTTGTTTTGATATTT